TTGTGTGGCATTGCTCTTAAGCTTACTCTAAACCATCCCAAACAAACAAACACACACACACACACACACACACACACACACACACACACACACACACACACACAGTTAAGTACCTGAGACAATGTTTTTAGTTTGTTCTTTAACCAGTTGTGGTGTATCATTAAAGGATGAGTAACCCTGGAGGTGAAGAGTGAGAAAAGAGAAAATATAAAATTGTTTTAAATAGGGAGGCTTCTTCAAGAATACGATAGGTGAAAAAGATAGTGACAACATAAACAGGAGGAGGATGATGATGATGATGATGATGAGCTGGAGACAGAGACTAACCTTTTGTACAATGTTGCTGAGGTCTGTTCTCAGGACAGTATCGATATTGACCAGGGCGTGATTAACATCTGGCAGCTTATGAAGGGAAAGATACAAACATAGATCAGTAAAAATGGCCGTTTAAGATGCTTGTTTCCATTTTCAGTTGTGTTGATTGTGAGACAATCTTTAGTTCCTGGTACCTTAGAGTAGTCAGAGTTGATCCCCAGCTGGGCGAGCGTGGAGCGGATGGTGTTACAGGTGGACGACACAGCTCCATTAGTGCAGGCAGGGTCTGATAAAGTGTTGGAAAGAGAGGCCCGCTCCCCAGATAGACTGGCCTGAAGCTTTGCTGTCCCCTCCTGAAGAACCTCCAGAGAGGAGCTGACGTTCTCCAGAGCCTCTTTAGTCTCCCGCATGGCTGCAGGAAGCAGAGGGAGGATGACATTTTAAAATAGGCTGATAAAAAATCCACATTTACTAAAATAATCCACAACAGTGTGCTGTTTTGAATTGTCCAACATGTGATCTTCAAATGGTTTACATTAATAGAATGTACATTCACAATTCAAAAAACTATCACAGAATTACAAACAGGATGACAACAACGCTGATTACACTGACGACAGACCAACAACCCACAAAGGGAAACCACAATACAAAACACAACAGGGGTTCAGATCAGCTCTGGTTACCTTTGATGGCATTCTCAACTTTAGCTTTAGATAAAAGAAGAATGTGCGGAAATTGGAGAGGAAAAAGGAAGATTAAAAGATGTTGAGGATATGCCTTTGAAGACACCACGGCAGTATTCAAACCATAATAGAGGAAACTGCATATAAAACGTATCATGTAGCATGACATGATAAGTGCGGCAACAATTCACAAATATATATTGGACATTTGTAGCATTAGTGTGACAATTACATTTTCACTTCACCAAAATAAGGGTTGATTTACAATTTCAGTTTATACCGTGTTTTGGGGGATATTTTAATTAAACAACACAGTTTATCTTGACATGATTAGAAGTCTGAGTTTATGCAAAACATGAGCAGCCATTTACATTGTAGCAACATAATTCATGGGTGGAGAGGTTTTTCTTTGATTTTCAAATTGAATGTCACCAATCAGATATGGTGACAGAACGGGGTGACATTGTGTTATCAACGCTGCATTCTGAAGCTGTGTAAACTGTACAGGAGCTCATTCAGAGTGTGTGTTACCTCCTGCCATCCGCAGCGCATTGTCCAGTGAGGGCACCACCTCTCTCTCCAGCTGACTGTGGATCCTCCCACCAAGTAAAGGTCCAATGTCTGTCAGGAAACACAGAGAGATCAGATTATATGAGAAAACTACAGCTAAATATGACTAAACACAGCAAGCCACAGACAACCAAGTGAGATACATTACTCTGTATCACTAAGGAGTTTGTTGGCTTTGCTTTATCTATCATGTTGGCTGTGTTAATCTATTTGGCATTAATTATTGGCTGGCGTGTGAAAAAATATTTTATTATAAGTTTTTTATTCGTTTAATATTTGGTAGTTCTTAGTCTCCAAGACAAAAGTTTAAAACATTTCAGTCAGTGAAAGAGGAACATATTGTATATATTATTTTCTAGAGGTTTTGTGAAGGAGGGTATTTGTATCCTCTAAGGACATCAGATAAACGTCTTTAAAGGGGAGGCACAAAGGTTAAACAAATAATGTAAGTAAACAGTCTGAGTTCAACTCACTGTCAAGGTCTGACAGGACTTTGTTCTTTGCCGTGGTGTACTGGGCTGTCATGTATTCAATTTGCTGCAACAGAAAACAGGCATCACTCATTTAAACATACATTTTCATTTGATATATATAAGGCTTTTACATAGAAAGGTGTGAGTGTGTGTGTGTGGGGGGGGGGGAGGACATACCGTAGGTGTGTTGTTAGCAAATGTCTTAAGGTCCCTCATGTTGGTGTTGATTAACCTTCGAGTGTTCTTAATCTGGGCGCTGACATTGTGGTTTGCAGCATAGGCGATGAACACTCCCAGGCTAAAACACACACATTATTTTATCAATTTTTATATATGATCACATACAGTAGGTACAATTTGACTAAAGTATATACAGTGTTCACCAGCAGAGGGCAGCATGGCTACATCAAGATGTACTTCTGATCACTCACTGAAAGTTCACAGAGACATGTAACAGGCCTGAAAAATCACATTTCTCAGCTACATAACTCTCTTGTATATACTCTCTATGTATATACCTCTTTGGGCTCTTCACAGTCACATGTCAAATACACTTTATGATGTGCAAGAACTTTCTCCTGATGTGGAGTTGAGAGAGATTTTGCAAAGATCTACATGATGAACAGTCAATAAATGTACTTAATATATGAGTCTCTTTTGGAAACCTCATACTTCACTTACCTTCTAAATTAATCTATTTTGCATCTATTACCTGAGGATTGGTAGCGATTTAACTTGATTATGGATAAAGACTTTAACTTACCTCACATTTATATCTCAGAAATTACGTACATTTGATGTTGTTAAATACTTTAAAAAACGTACTGTAATCAAATACAAATGTGGCATAGATAACGCTCTCATAATTCACTGGTGAAAACAAGGATGATGTTGAAGTCTATTAAGGTGTTGAGCTGATGATATGCAAACTTCAGCAGAGTTTTTTAAATGATAACTTTAATAATTACGTTTGTGATTGCTATTCCTGAACTTTGAAGATATTTTACACCTGTTAAAGTTATTCAATGGTACAGCCATATAACTGATTTATTCACTTTGCTGAACCTGAAGAAAAGACTTGATTGAGTGTCAACAGAAGGAAGGATTGTGTGAGATATAAAATAATTAACCCTGATATATGAATATCACCAATTGATGTACTTACATGGTGGGTGTGTGTGTGTGTGTGTGTGTGTGTGTGTGTGTGTGTGTGTGTGTGTGTGTGTGTGTGTGTGTGTGTGTGTGTGTGTGTTAGCATGCATGTTTGTGATGTGAAAGCACTCATTCCGACAGAGAGCCCCCTTTACAGTCTTTACAGCCCTTTACAGGTGATATCAGTGCCACCTAACTGTCCTGCAGTTTCTCTGACTGTGCACCTGTCTCCTACACAGCGGGTGATCCGCAGGTAATCTCCTGTCTGTATGTGAGCAGATGTTTTTAAAGGAGAACTCCACAGATGTACACATCTAAGCTTGTTTAGAGGTCTGGTGGATTATGACAGGATATGTTACCAAAAGGTTTTATAAAGCCTATCGTGGATTCAGCGGGAGCTCTGCAAAATCTGAAAAAGAGGCTTCAGGTGACGACAAGTTTTGAATGAGAAAACAATATACCGCATATAGAGTTAGAAAGCAGTGAGGTTTCCAGACCTCTTGAAGCTAGTAGCTGGAGACAACATTAGCCACCACTAGCACAACATTTCTGAAACTCCTTTTGGACTATTAGCAGTCAAGGTGCATTAAAGGTAATGTCGGCCTCCAGGGTTTCACGAGAATGAAAAAGACACTTGATTTTTTGTAGAAGATTTCTACAGTCTCACACTTCCATGATGCACACAGTGAGAACATACATGAGACCTAATAATACCTTTCAAAAAATCCTCATGATGATAAATAAGATGATAAAGACTCACGACATGAAGATGGAGGTGGCGACGAGCAAGGCGGTGTAGAAACCTCTCTGACAGTCTATGTTTTTTCTTTGTCTCTGGTGCATCTCCCCTCCGCAGTTGTCACAGCAGCGACACACACAGAAACACATGGCGATGATGGGCACCAGGACCACGAACAGGATGCCGATAGTCGCACATATGAGGAAACCCGCCTCGTAGCAGATCGTCTGCAGGAGAGGATATAAACAGTCATCATTCCACCTCACATCCTTTCTGAGACATTTTGGAGTATAATGTGAAAACATAATGTTATGAGGAGTTTACCTGTAGTAACAGCACCACATTGTCTGGCTGTGACACACACACACACACACACACACACACACACACACACACACACACACACATGGCAAAAGGGTAAGAAAGACAAACAAATCAAGGTCAGCCAAAAGATTAGGAGGCAGAGGAAACATCATTCTTAAAACCTAGTCTATACAAACATTTTCTCTTGCTTTTATTTGATATCTTATTGTTTTTATTTCAGATCGTTAACTTTTTTTCTAACCACAGTGTCTACTTACTTATTCTCAATTTGCACATTCTTTTTTATTTTGTGAATTATATGATGGTTAAAGGTGGAGTAGGTCATTTTGGAGAAACCAGCTCGAGTGCGCTAGAATTTGAAAATACACAGCCGGAAAAAATCTGCCACTTCCTCACAGAGCACCTCCTCCAACACACACGAACGCGCACATGACCAATGAGGGCACGAGATAAGTTTGTGCACAGATGGAAGGCTGACAGGCAGGTAGGCCATCCAGTTACTTTAGCCGGGCCGGCTAAAATGATTGGTCGTGCTTTTTACAGCGCTACGGCTTCCACAGGTGTGTGTCAAAGCACTTAAGATATTCATTGCTATCGGGATGTTAAGAGCATTCCATGGAATATGACAAAAAGTGTATCTCGAGCCGGTTTCTCAAACGTACCTACCCCACCTTTAACTGCCTTTTTGTTTTGTAAAGTACTGTTTTTAATAATAACAAGCGTCAAATCAAAGTGGGGGAATCCCAAAAAACTTGTTGGAATCGCAGTGACAAGGCTATTATATTACCCTTTTGTGATTTTTACCATTATGTGTTTAAAATATTATAGAGACTTTATAGATTATTTCATGTTCTATTAAAAAGACCACTCTAAGGCCTTAAAGTCCCATTGAAATGATTACAAATAAATGCAAAAAACTAAATCTCTTACAGGTGTTAAATTAACAAATGTATTAACCAGTTAAATATCATTACTGCTTATTATCAAGACTAAAATATTTAATCTCAATAATCTTTTAAGCCAAACATACCTTTCTCCATTCTTCTATTTTGATTCCTCCCATGTTTTGTTGAATAACTTTAATAATGAGATCTGAAAAAAAAGATAGAAGAGATAGGTAAGCACACAAGTCTTTCAATCTGCAGAAATGTAATTATAATCACTTGCAGAGTTTACCAGGGTGTATACAGATTGTACAGAACGTGGTATGAGTCATCTGCCAATTTTACAGTACGAACAATCAAACACACTTCCTGCACTACATTTGACGAGCTAAGCTGGAGGGAAAAATCCATTTATCTGTTCATGAGCAGACAACACAGCTTACGTGGATTCATATTTTAATTTCCCGTGGACAGTATTGCGGAAGGATTTATCTACTCTTATATCTGACAGATGTGTGTTTTTACGGAGGCTGTTATTACTGTGTAGTTTGCCGATGAGAAATGCACTTCAGTCCATCTGTCTGTGTGTGTTTTTATAGGTCAGCCATCACTAAGCTCACCTGGATGGTGACTCACCCTAAATGTGAATCGGGGACACGGTGATTTCTGTGCACACGTACTGGCAATAACACTTGTATGCACACAGACTCATTCACAGTATATATTTTACAACATGTAAAGTTAAAAAATACATTATTTACAAGTGGATGTGTGTTCATCTACAGATCAAGAATACAATGTGTACACAAACCAGTGGAGGAACGGAAGCACTTAATTTACTCAAGTATTCTTTCGATGATTATACTTTTTATTTTCTGAAACTTATATATACTTCTACTAAACTACAATTGAGGGATAATATTGAGCTTTTTTTCTGTATTATAATTTTCTCAAATATAATAATAGACAATAATAATAATAGATATAATATAGATATATAGATATAATAATAGAATAATAATAGAAAACTTATATATTATTATGCACTATTATAGGCAGCACACAAAATGGCTACCATTGGCTACAACATGACCTGCTTACACATGAATGCGTAAATATTTAGAAATCTATCAAATGAAACTGTTTTTATTTTTCTGAAACTGCATTTTTGGTTCTCTGGTTGAGATTTATTTTTGATGCTTTGTACTTTTACCTATGTACAATGTTTTATTTAGGGTTTTTACTAAAAGTTCATAAATAAAAGATCTGAATACTTATTTCACCAGAGATACAGACATATTTATATCGACATACAGTACATGTTGAATTCAACATATTAACATTGAAGACTACCTGTTTGAAGCTGCATCCCGAGCCAAAGCAATATACTGTATTCCAGTGCTTGCTATCATTCAGTGAGATTTCTCCCATGATATCGGCAAATCACATGATATAAAAACGTCTGCTCTTATCTATTCTTTTGGAAATGCAATATCGTCATAAACAGTAACATGCCTCGGAACAGTAGATGACTCTGCTCTGCTGTTTGCAATGTAAACAGATGGAGGCCAGTTTATCATTTAAAGCTGACACATTCACACACACACACACACACACACACACACACACACACACACACACACACACACACACACACACACACACACACACACACACACACACACACACACACACACACACACACACACACACACACACACACACACACACACACACACACACACTTTATTGTCACTATCAATTCAAATGAAAATGTCCTGATGATATCGTTTAATCAACAAAGACCCCATGGTGGTATCTTTGAACACACTACACTGGTAAATGAGAGAGAAAATAAGTTTCATTGACTCATATTTGAACACTGTTCAGTCTACACAGTTAATCAAGTGTCTAATTAGATGTTTTGCGATTCCTTTAGTTGAATAATTGGCTGCAAAGCAACTGCCAACTGTTTCATGTGAGGTTTCAAGTGTGTGTTTTAAAAGTAAAATGTCTCTGAATAAGCCTCAAGTAAAAGAAGTTGAGATTTTGGATATCTTTTGTGACCACGTGGATAATCCTCTCAACAGCAGCACCGTCCTCCTATCCGTCAGGGAGGTGTCTCTCTTTTCCCAGACCTGTTTATAAACCTGCAGGTGCCGTCAGACTGTTATGTCGGGTGAAGACATTTACCTGGTTGAACTCTGCAGATGCAGCACATGAACACATCTGAGTCATGCCCATGCCACCTGTTGTTGCTCAGCTACTTAGTTAGCATTAGCTGCTGAGGGCAGTTAAGCTTAGACAGCTTAGTTCAGTCAGCCAACATACAGTAAGAGTAAGCTAATGCAAATGAAAGGAAGAGGGGGGGATGAACCTGAGTTAGACCTAAAGCAAATGAAAAGACCACCGTCTAACTCAAAATAAATCACTTCCTCCTCCTGAATATACTGTAGACAAAAGTAAGGAAGTGAGGAACTCATTTCTTTCGAGGGCCGTACCAAATCATTTGAAAGTTTTCATATCGTTTTTTACAATAACAAATTTTTTTTTTCTTTCTTACATTTCTATTATTCAGTTAAAAAAGCTGTATTTCTGCAGGGTTGCAGACTAAGATTAGATAAATACATATGTGTACTATTTGAAGTATTATTGCTATTAGAACGAATAGATTCTGGCTGTTTATGATTGTTCAATTGTCAACGTGTTTTTATCTGACAGAATAATCTCTTTTAATCTAGATTTCTTAGCTTTCACAATGATTTTCACTGTGGTCAAAACACAGTTTCATGCCGCACACCAAGGGAGCTAGTACTAATTTGCTTTTTCATTAAATACAAAAAACAACAGATTTAATTCAATTAATAATTTTAGCAAAATGTAGGCTTTTCTTTTAAGGTGATGCCAAGAGACATTCAAAGGTTTATATTGACTACAAGCAGAACAAACACACACATAGAAAACACTTTGAAGCTACAGAGCAAACCACCGAACACCGCAGCGAGTTAGCGCTGTTGAAGGCCGCACCTACAACCCTCTTACTGCCATGTGTAAATATAGACTCGCACAATCCTCTACGCTAACCTGCTCTGGAAGATTATTGGAAGGTGTCGGCAAAGCCTTAGGCAACCCAACAACCATCTTTACTTTTTATGTTAAAGGCTTATTTAAAGTAAAGTCAGCCCCACACACAGAAAACACAAAGGGCATTTTTTATCCTGCATTCACCTAAACCCTGTTAACTGTGAAGTATATTAGCCAAACTTAAAAACCTAAATCTATAACTTGAAGCATTCACTGGGAGAGATGATGAAGAAATACATCCATACATGTTGGTCAGTCTCTGCTCCCTGGACAGTGGATTTGAACACGTTATAGTATTTGGAAAAGCAAGTTAAACCCAGACTGGAGAAATGAAAGTTTCTGAATACATTCAATCATTACAAAAATGGAAGACGGTTAGGGTAATAATGGGGCCATGGTGGAGTTACTGGTAGAGAAAAGTGCAGGAAAATAAATGATTGGCTACATTATTGGCTATATTTCCCAGCAGTAAAGTTTCAGTTGTGCTCTTTGGCTTGTCACCCCTTATAATGCAGCGATGTTTATGTTGTCGTGCGACCACTCATGACGAAGGATATTCAAATCTGGGATTGTTTATACAAGAAATCACAAATGCCAGGTGCAAATCATACAAAAGTAATACTATACATTATGTCACAACAAGAAAAAAACAAATGTTATTTGTAAAATAAATGCATATGTCCAAAAGACCTGAAACTTCTTAACATGCATTTTCTGTGCAGTTAAACATTATGTTACACAGCGAGTTCATCAGGTTAACCCTAAGAAGGGGCTTCTGACCCCCCATCATTGGAACCACTGACACTAACAGTTTTCCCAAGAGTAGATTTAAATAGTTTTGAAATAAGTTGAATTGGTAGGACAAAGTGAGATTGCAGCTCTCACTTTCATAAATGTATATTATAAAACCACAATGGGAACCTAAAGTGATTATGTGGGATGCAATTCCAAAGGTGTTACGCGATAGTCAGGTCAGGTTATGAAGTACTTCCTGGTTGTTGCTTTAAATACTACCAACTGTTTGGTACACATAATGACACAAGGCTATAAGCACCGTATGTATTCTGAAGGCACCAGGAGCCAAAGAAAGTTACACAGCCCGCTGTGAGCTGGCCAAAGTAACTAAGAGGATTATATGGTATTTTCTCCTGTTTGCACTAGACACTTTATTAGACACTGCCCACAAGATGTTATAATATGGATCAGGTAAAGAGAGATAACAGACTGAAACAATATTGTTTTGATCAATTGAGTGACTTTTCTGACCTATGGAATATAAGAGAATAGATATTTTTGGATTTAGGTATTCAAGATTTTATAATTACAAGACATTCACATCTACTTTAGAAGCAGGAAAGGTTGCAATTTTATTTTGTTCAACTTAAAATGTAGTTAAAGAATTAATTGATCTGCAAAAGTGTTGCTTTACAGAAATCAATTAATCCCGGAGTTTATTCTTTCCTTCCTCCCTTGTTTTGCAGATATCCTTATCAGGAAACTAATCAAGTTATTTATTTTGTTGTTAATTCAATTTAAGGCCTTATCTCCCTGATTAACAACATGTTTTTAACCAGTGAGTAATTAAACAAACAGATAAATACCCAGACTATGACCCACTTTCAGTACATTCGTGCAGTCTGCGAGCCAGCATTCGTAAGTGTGTATTTGTGTGTTTGTGTGTGTAAGTGTGTGTGTGTTACAATGCCATCTGTAGCTGCGTTAGCTGTGTTAGCATTAGCCCTGTTGATGCTAATCCTCTAATCTACCCTGTGTGTATCAGGGGGATAAGATACACGCCCTCCTCACATAGTGCAGGAGTATAAAATGCATCTTCCTTATGATACGTCACACAGATTTGTAAAGAGGGATGAGCGATCCAGATCCTGACAACAACCAATGAACCAATGATGACCTGTGATTCACGCTACAGCAGCTGTCCTGGAAACCTGAAACATTCATAATAAAACAGGGATTTGTGGAGATTTGTCTACAGACTTGTTGTGAGATTGTTCTTCAACATTAGACCAATGTTCTTGTAAGGACAATCAACTTCCTTTCCTCAGTCTACCTTACATTGGTTTGTAATTCTCCATCTCAAACTCCAGACAACCTCAGCCCCTGTGA